CGGGCCAATCCAGGGATTATCGATGATCCTCTCTCATATGACCCGAGGGTGTGGGTGTGGGTGTGTGGTTCTGAGTAACGCTTATACCCACACCCCACCCACATCTCACCCACACCCTTATGGAGACAGAACTAGAGTCCTGCGGGACAAACTTTTTTCGTGTCCCGAATCCCGTTTGTTCCTTCTCGTAAATTTTCGAATCGTCCCGAATCCCGTTTATCCTGTCCCGAAAAATTTTCAAAATGTCCCGATCCCGAATATTCCGTCCCGAATTTTTTCGGATGTCCCGTTAACTTAGAGGTGACAGACTGGACTTTGTCCACTCGCCGGGCTATTGCTTCTCACTCGTTTTGTTGCCGTGACAAATCCTTTTTTAATGTGAGTTATCATCCTCTGCTCGAAGCATTAGTCACGACTCAAGTCAGTAACTCATTCTCCACAGCTAGCCATTATTTCGAAACGAGAAAAAGTTTGCCAAGATCATGAAAAAGTGCCCAATGTATACTTGCAATCCGTTTTTCAAAATCTCGATGCCGCTCAGAATCTATCAAAATGCGCAAAATGATAATTAACAGCTGAGAGTTTCCTTGTACGATCATACAAGACTCAATCTAAAAAAAGCATTGATATTTCAAATACTACATGCAATAATTTTCTTATATGGCAATAGTTGGTACAAACTAATTATTTCTTAACTTGTCACCTGAGCCAGGATAGCTGAACATGGCTGAAGCTCATTGTTTGTTTCTCTCAAGGGGTGAATAGTGGAATTCTCGAATCTTTGAATTCCAAGGATTCCCTATCGTATCTTACTAAGTTCGGTAGAATTATATAGAATCAAAATTCTGAATTCCATAGAATTCCATAGAATTTGAGGATTCCAGAATTTCGCTATTCACCTCTTGTTTTCTGTACGAAAGTCTAAAATTTAGAAATAGAAGATGTCGTATAGGATCGTACTCTGACGTTTTTCTAGCTCTTGCAGGCAGCCACCTTTTTTATTCGGAGTTTGCTCAAGTAGAAGTCTAGTTTTTCTGTCTGTTTCTTTTCTCTTTTATTTATTTAAATATTAAGATATTTTCATACAAAAAAAATTAAATTGTATGGCACGTTTCGAGATAACGATTGAAAAAATTCGGGACAATCCTTTTTTTCGATTTTGTCCCGATCCAGAATGTCCCGTCCCGAAAATTTTTGTCAATGTCCCGATTCCGATTGTCCCGCTCCAATTTTTTTCGGGATAGTCCCGATTGTCCCGCGGGACGGAACAAACGGGATTTTTCGGGATTCGGGACTGTCCCGCAGGACTCTAGACAGAACCTACAGTAGAGACATTAGTGCCTATGGTTGCTAATTTTCCTATTCCATAAGTCATTAATGAAATACTAAAACTAATCGCTTTTTGTATTGCCTAATCTTTCCAACTAAATATACCAGATAATCCAGCCATAGTTGCATAGACCATATCATCAATACCTTCAGCAATAAGAGCACCTCCAATATTGACACAACCAAATGTTATTAAAACAACACCTCCAATAACTTGAGCAAGTCCTATCATTGCAACAGCAAAAGCATTCCAATCCGACCAAGATTTATCATCTTCGATAATTAAAAAATTAGTAAGACCTAATCCTTCGAAAAATTTTAATACATTTGGTATTTTTTCTTGATCTTTAAGATCAATAAAATCTTTTAACGTAGCTTTTAAATCTTCTTTGCATGAACGAATATCTCCTTGTAAACATAATATTTTCGATTTAATCAAATCTTTATCATTTTTAAATTCATCTGGTAAGATTTTATTTAATAATTTATCAATATCTTCACTCGTATCACCATATTTATATTTAGCAAGACCACCGGATTTTATTATATTTTTATCGTTTTCAAAACATAAGAATTTTCTTTGCTTCTTCTTCTTGTGTCAAATACGGTAAATCTGTTTGATAGATATATTTACCTCCTTGACTAAGAATTTGTTCTTTTAATTTTTTTTAAAAACTTTTTAAATTGCTCGGTTTGCGACCATGATCATTAAAATTAATTCTTGAATATTTTTCATATTCTCCATCGAATCTTAAGGATTCGAGATTTAATTGTTCAAGTGTACCTCGTTTAGTTTTACTTAATATCTTGTTCTCTTCTAAATAGATTCGAAATTCTTTCGTTTTGGAACTTATTTCAAATAAAGAAATATCAACATGACTCGGATCTATTCTATCTTCTAAATCTTTTCAAAGTTTTTCATATTCTTGTGGTAAAATTCTTTCTATTCGACTTTTATCCAATATAAAAACATCTTCTGTATGTCGCATATTTAAAACTTCCCATAACTGACCGTTATAACAGACAATATCTTCGAAATCTTTCAGTTGATATTCATTTTTTCTATTTAATAAACGAATGATAGATTCAGCTATCGATGGATCAACATTATCTCGAATTTCTCGTTCTATTGCATTTTCAAATGTTTTTCTCTTTCGATTTCCTTGTATGAGTTCTCCATCAACAAGAATTTTATATAATCTTTCTCCTTCTTCTCTCTTTTCTTTTGTTAATTCTTCACCTTCGTTCGCATGCAAAGTAAAATCATATGGTTCTATTGTTTGTCCAACAGCATTATTTTAATAGTGTAAATGTAATCCAATAATTTCTATTTTGCCTCGAATTTGATCTTCATAAAGATTTTCTTTGGAAGATACTTTTTGAAAGATTTCAGCACTAGCTGACTGTGGACGAATCTCTGCAATTTTAAGATTTGCCATTAAATTTCGTTTTATTAATTCTAAACAACGTATAGCTTTTTTAAATTCTCGTCTTGATTCTTTTTTCACATTTTTTCCATTGTTTAAATTAATAATACACAATGCGATTCCCATATATGAAAATCCTGAACTATCTCCATATGTAATAGCCTTCTTAAAACACATCTTAGCCATTGAAAATTCTTCTGCAGAAAGACAAACTTGACCGACTTGGATAGCTTCTTCGGGTTTTTCAATAAAATTTTCTAATAAATGGTTAAATTTAGAATTTTGTAAAGTATGAGTAAGCTTTTGAATAAACGAAGAATCATATTCATTTAATAACGAACTCTTTTATCCAGATGTTTCAATAGTATCAATCTTTTCTTTAACCTTATCTAACCAAAATGCCCAACGATCTTTCAAAACATTCTGAAAAACTGCAATAAATTTTTCTTTATATTCATCTGGTTTATTTTCAAATAATGTTTTAAAAACTTTATCAGTAATATTTCTTTTAAATTCATTAAATTTATCAAAAAGTTCTTCTTCAACTTCAAGACGAAGTATACTCTTCTTTTTCAATTCTGACAATCTTGCTGCTTCTTTATTATCTCGATTGATTTTCTCTCTTTCAATAATTATATCAGATAAATCTACTAATTTCATTTGTTGTATATCACGAGGATATTGACTTATATCATACATTTTCTCATATGTAGATCTATCAACTTGTAAAATAAATTGTCCAGTACCTGCTGCTCCGTTTCGAGCTGTTCGTCGAAAAGCTTGTTCTTCTATACGAACATTTTTTGGTAGATAACCTAGAATAACATGCATTCCTCCCTTAACATTCATACTTGAATTTACATGTATATCAGTACCACGTTCACCTTTGTTTGTTGCAATAATGATATCACCTACAGTGGCAGGTTTTTTTCGAAATCTTTCCTCTATATTATCACCATCTCTTCTATATTTTGCTATTGTATGTGGAGCAACACCATATCGAATAAGTTCAGCCCAGATATTTTCTGTTGCTTCGACATTCTCACATATAATTAAAACAGGTCTTTCTTTTGCTTGCTCGATCGTTTCTTTTGCTATTAAATCAAGCCAATCATTATACTCAAATGCGATTTTACTAGGTATTTGATAGTAGTACTTCTTTCTCGATGTAGGCAAATCAGCAAACTGAACATTATACAAATCAGATAGAAAACTTTGAGAATTTTGTGATCCTAATGTACCAGTTAATCCATACAGACAATCTGTATATCTTTGAAAAAATGCTTTATTAGAAATAAAAACAGCTTTTAAACTTTCAACAGATAATTTACGTCGATATTTTAATTCTAAAAATTGAGCTAAACCATTACTCCATCGTGTAGAATATTGCTTTGTACCAGTATCTTTATCAACAACAATAATAGTTCGATGTTTTTGAACAGTTTGACCATCTGTTTTAGGTATATCTAAAACAAAATGATCGTCTTCTCTCATAATACGTGCTTGAAAAGCACTATGAATCCAACGTTCTATTTTATAATCGACATACGCATGTAAATAATCTGGTACGTAAATCATCTTATTTTTTACAGTACGCTTGATAAATTCTGATATATCTTTTATATGTTCAGATATATCATCAGTATTATTAATGTCTACTCGAAGTACTGCAATCCAAATATTAATAAATAATGTTTCGAGCCATTTTAAACTTTGAATTTCATGAGAAAGATAAAGAACATGTCGAGCTCGATCTAAACACATATTATCAACTTCATCGACAATTAAACATTTCTTTCGTTTTTCATATCGTTCATCGAATATATTTTTATTATTAAATTCAGATTCTAAAATATCTCTTTGAAATCCTCCGACATCACCATAAACAATATTACCTTGTGGTGTATCTAAACTTAGTCTATACGATTGATGATTAGCATCATCAGATTCATGACAGATATGACCATTCTCAATTTTCAATAATTGAAAAAATGAACGACATTTTTGTTCACCTTCTATAGCTAAATCACGATTACTAGAAACAACATGAACAGCATTTCCACATAAAGCAAAAAATGCAGCTGTCAATCCAACAATAAGAGTTTTACCTTCGCCTGTTCGAATTTGTTCGAGAAGTCCTTTATCTTTACTATGAAGAAAAAGTAATAGAGCAACCATTTAAGTATCCTTTGGAAACTGAGGTTTATTAGCAATTGACCAAGCATAAATAATCAACGGAATAATATCATCTAAATGAGAACGTACAAACTCAGATGGATTTTCTTGATAAGACTCAAGATTAAGTATGTCTTGAATTTCTCGATTAATTTCCAAATTTTCATCTCCTTCGGATACTTTTTTTCTTTTAGCTAAATCTTTAAATCGTTTTGCTTGTTCAGCAATTTCTCTAAGAATATCTTTTGAAATAGTATTTGTTTTACTTTTTTGTTCATTTATCATTAGATGAATAATATCTTCTATTGAACGATCAGATTGATAATCAATTAAATCTTTAGGAAATTTTAGTTCTTTTAATTTATCTTTTAACCAATGTTCCTGAGAATACTTCAAAACAATAGTACATCCTTGTTCCAAAGAAATTACTCTATGATAAATAGCTTCTAATAATTTATTTAATTGATCGATTTCTTTTGTTTTTGCTTTATCTATTTTTTCACAGATATTTTGAAAAAAATTTATAAATATATCATGATTTTCATTTCCTAATTCTATTCTAATACGATTTAAATATAGAAGAGCTTCCTCAGCATCATTTTCACTAATACTAATACCAACTTTATTCATTTCGATTGTTAAAAATTGAGAAAATTCAATTTCATGTAAAACTGTATCCCACACATAATGAAGCATCAGATAATTGATTTAGATATTCTTTAGTTACATTAACCTTCATCATTAAATCAACAATACGAAGAAATTTTACTTGAGTAATTTTTTGATAATTAGCCAATGAATTGTTACTATTCGGATAGATTTTTTGACTTATTTGATCAATATATTCTGTTACAAACTTATTGTTAAACAAAAGTAAAAGGTTCTCTTTGATATGCATTAATTGATTTCGAAGATTTTCTATTTGATGATTTTTAGGAAATATTAAATTAAATTTTTCAATAATATGTGCGATTAATAATGTTTTTAACCAATCTTTTTGTGATGAAGATAGTAACATTTTAGTTGCTAAACGAACATTTTCGAAACAAGATAAACAATGTTGTACTTTTACAAGAATATCTACGTGTATCAAAAGACCTCCATCTATTTCTAATCGTTGGTTAAGTGTATCAATTAAGTTATTAAATGTTAAAACTTTATACGGATCTTTTTTATCAAAAGAATCATTTTTTCGATTTAAAAATCCATGAAAATATTCGAAAGCCTTTTCAATCTTTTCTTCTTTTGTGAATAATAATTCAAAAAATCGTTTCAATTTTTTTTCTTGTAATCTAACGATTCTATTAAAAATAAATCTTTGAATTTCATTAACTTCATTCATATCTAGTAAGTCTTGTTTTTTCTTAAGTAAATTCAATAAATTTTCATTATCTATTTCGAAAAGTTCGGAAAATAAATGATAATTTCCAACCATTTTGCATTTGAACGTTTCTTAAATAAAACTTTTACATATTTCTCTATATAAATTACTTTCATTTCATAAAAAACAGTATCAATTGCCTGTGCGAAATATTGATACGCATATAAATTTTTACGAGATGAATCCTCACAAATTTTCTTTATATTCGAGCAAAGTTTCTTCAAATGGTTAATATGCTAAAATTCGATATTGATGTCTTCAAATTTATCTGTGGAATTATATTTGACAAGGATCTCAAGTTACTAATCTAAGAAATCGATTAATCGATCATTAATAATTCCTAATGGATTTTCTTTTTGAAATAGTGTATGAAATAAAATGACTTGAAATTGTGCATGGTCTATGTTTGCTTCACTGGTATTTACACTATCTCGATGAACTATAGTAATAAGTTTCATTAAATTAATTATATTTCGATTTGATGAAGGAGATAATTCTGTTGTTTTGCAATAATCATAAAACATTTCATAGGTTTCTTGAACAAATTTAGATTTTTTATTTAATTCTTGATATAGAAAACTTAATATTAATTCATAATCTTTTCGTTTTTTCTCAATCGATGAATTTCTATTATTCAAATATAATTTCTCGACATATTGTTTAATAAAAACTAATTCATTATTGAAAATTGGATATGAATTAGATAAATCAACTAACATTTGTTCTTTTAAACTTTGATTTTTAATTATGTTTAATCCATCAATAATCTTTTTTAGACATTTATCCATATGTTCATCAGGAACTAACTGACATTAATTAAAAATATCTATGATTTCTAATGCTAAATTAGGCAAAACAATTGTAGTATTATTGTAAATCAATAAATTTTCAAGTTTGTCTTCTAATGATCTGTTTAAATCAATATTATTTCTAAAATGAATATTGATTTTGTCAGGAAATTTTCGTTTGATATCATACATAAACAAACAGGATTTTGATTGTTCTATGAACACTTTATGAGATACAGTAATGTTAAATAGAGTATTATTAGGATTCACATAGATTTTGTTTAACTTTTTCGTTATTAGCAAACGAATATCATTGTGAATATGTTCAAGATTAGAAAATAATTTATCAAGAATTGTCAAAAGAGTCTTTTTCTCGCTGAAAATACCATTATCGAGTAATTGTTTGGTAAGAATTTCTTCTGTTTTACTTAGATAATCAATAGTTGTTGTGAAATTTCTCTTATAGTTTTCTATAGTATTTTCTACTTTTTTCTTCTCTTGTTCCGAAAGATCTAGAGCTTCAATCTTTATATCATTTAGACCGCTGTCAATTTTTATTTGAGTTTCGGTGGATAGATTTCTCAATATTTTACTAAAATGAACTTTTATTTTACTTAATGTCTCATTAGACAAACCCTAAAAATCCGTAGGTTTTTTGATATCATTGAATTCGATTAAGCCAACACAAAAGTCACTTATTTTATCTAATTTATAACTGTTACTCGACATGTCTTGGAACAATTATCAATTTCTTGTAAACTAGATGACATTGTTATCAAAAGATCATCTTTTTCTTCTAAACTTCTGTTAATTAATTGTTCTCTTTTTGTAATTTCTACTTTAGTAATTTCATAATCAAAAACTATCCGTAAAAATTTAAGAACATAACGAATTTCTTCACTTTCAGTTTCATATAGAATATTTCCTACGATGTGAACTATATTTCTCATTGATTTATCTTCGAACTTACATCGATTATTTGTTATCAAATTAATGAATTCTAAACCTTTTTTATTTCCTGGTAAACGATTGATTCTTGAACATCTATTTAATATTTCTTCACCTAAGACTGGATCATACAATGCATTAAAAGCATCTATTTGTTGCTCAATTGTGTACTTAATTTCGTCTATTTCATACCATTGGGAAGGGTATGGGTGTGGGTGTGGGTGTGGTTGGAGTGTGGAGACATCGACACCCCACACCCACCCACCCCCACCCCACACCCACCCACACCCACACCCACTCACACCCACCCACACTCACACCCACCCCACCCACACCCACCCACACCCACACCCCACCCACACCCACCCACACCCACACCCCACCCACACCCACACCCACACCCTCATGTGCACAAAAAGTGAAGAAATAGCATTCTTTTGATTTTTTCGTATAATATCAAAGCATGAATTCTAATCTGCTATTTTGATGATGATGAACATTCTCTCCTGTTATCTATTAGTTAATATTCTCTTTCTTCATTATATCCATTCTTTCTCGAACTTAATATTCTTAAAAATGATTCCATTTCATTTGCGAAGAAGCCCATCGTAATATTTTATTTGCTTTTTAAACAAACATCGATGGAATAAGAACTATAAATTATTCAAAAAAATCGATATAGAGTATTGCAGGCGTTTATTTTTCAAAAATCCTGACTTGATGTATTTTAGTTTCTCTCTCTTGCTTGGCAATTAAGACCAAGGAAAAGATAATTTACAATGCTGTCCGCAACCACTAGATAGAACCATAATAAGACAAATATTCTATATCATGAAACACATGGTGAATATTATTCGCGAGTACGGATCATTTATTTCTTTATACAATAATACAATCATTTTTTACTTGGTTTACTGTCCCTCTTGACACATGCTGCATTGAAGTCTCTTAATTCCTTTTGCATTTGAGTGATAGTCAATTGAAGGCGACGATTTTCGGCTTGTAATTCTTCGGAAGCATTGTAAAGTATCATAAGTTGCTGTTGAATTCCTGACGGATTTTTATTACGCATATATTCGAAACATGCTCGCCGTGTATGCTCGGCCATTGGCGACCGTTTTGATAAAGGATATTGACATAATTCACATGGAATACTTTCGAACTCACATACTCTTTCATGTTGTTCAAGTTCATAATAGGACGAAAGTACGCGACACCCATTAGGAGCATACGCACAACGAACGCGTAGTTTGGCTAGTTCATGGATGGCTTGAGGAGATATTTGTGTTTCTTCAAAATCTTCGCATCCATTTTTTCCATGAAATTTCTGTTGAATTTTAAAAAACGATGAAATTTTACCCAGAATACCACCCGTAGGGCGACATTTCGTGCAGAAAACAGTACTACAATTTTTACAAGAAACAGGTTTCCAAAAAACGTTTCCACATACAGAACAAATAACGTTATCAGCAAATGATGAGCCTGAATCGAGAACGATTCGATTTCGAAGAAGAACATCCAGTTGAATCGTAGATTTAAGTTCAACTCGTTTGATTTTCTGTTGATTAAGAAACAACAAATCATTGACCCCGTAATGCAATAGAAGAACTTACATTGTTATCAGCGAGGATGTCACGAGCCACTAATAATTCCATATGACCATCTTAAGAAGAAGCAAAACTTTTGAGATTGTTAATTTTAATATATTCTTACTTAGTGCTTGACGAAGTAGTTGAACTTCTGCTTTCAGAGCAGCTATCTCAGAATTTGGTTCCTTGGAATCATTTTGACATGTTACATGCACCATATTTCGATCTAAAAACATAGCCGTGGTCTGTTGACATACTGGTTGATGTTGTGCGAGATTTTTTCGGGGTACATCTAACTGACAGTGAATACATTTTACAAGTTGATTTCCACATGTTATCTCATGTTTTTCAAGTGCTTCATATAGAATAACCTAAAATAAACATGGGATAAAAATAGTGTCCTTTAATAATACAGAAAGTGAGTGAACTGTAGTTCAACAAACCTCCTGGCAACCATACGATCGATAAATGCAAACAACTTTTAATTTTGCTAACTGTCTAGCAATGAATTTGGAACATGGTCGTTCAATAAATGAAGTACATCTCATGGGACAATGATTGGGATGTTTATCTAACCACTGTCGAATACACATCAAACAGAAATGAGTTTCACACTGTTGACATGAGAGCGGTTTCCATAATATATTCTTACATATAGTTGAACAAGTAACTTCATTTAAATCGACTTCTGTTGCGTTCTGAATACGTTCAGATGCAAGTCCAACATCGTTGGTAGATGTCATCTTGAAAAACACCAGCTAACGACAAAACTATTTTTTTTATATATGAGTTTAACTTAAGCATACAAAAAAAACCAGTCTAAATCAAAATAATTGCGAAGAAGAAAAAAAAACGATTTGCTTCCACATGATTCAAATTGTGTATTGGTAAAAGTAAACGATGAGTCAAACATAAGTATTGTTGACATGCAGAGGTCCTCATATACATACAGAACACGCGTTTTCGAAGAGGAAGATAAAAAAGAGTGGATGTTTGCAATGGCAAAACGTCATTCTATTCGAATATACTAAAGCAAATTACATCATGTAGAAGATGGAGCGATAGAAATTATGGATTAGGACACTATTGTGTTTTACACGAAGAAGCATAACATAATGGTCTCTGTGATATAACTAATGCAGGGCTATTTCAAGTTTAAAACTTAAAAATCATTATCGAATATATAAAAAGCTTGTCATCGCAGCTCCTTTGGAGCTGAAATGTGGAACTCACGTATATCCGTTAGACTTGCTATCATAATATGTCATCTGTAAACTGAAAGATTTCTGTTGTTTAAAATGATTCTTATAACTCTGACATAAACAATATTTTATTATTTATTTGTACATTTCAAACTGCGGCTATCTTTTTCGTTTGAGCGCGCCCGATTTCTTTTATTAGTGTTGCTATATACTTGATAATAATCATTCTTTTTGTTTTTTTTTTATTTGAAATTTTTTTATCATCAACTATTTCATAACTACGAGTCTTACAGTAATGCACTTAGCATGCATTAGCCATTCTTACAATACTTTTATACATCTCAATGAATTCATCCATAATGATATTGTTTCCTTCTGACACTAATAATAAGATCGAATGATGTTTCTTGTATTGATTATATCATCGGTACGACAGATTAATACCTATTATCACTGTACATCGTTGATTTTTAGCATACAAGTTTAAATTCTTAAAAAAGTCAACGATTATACTATTAAGAATTTTGTTAAGTGTATATGAACTTTTTCAAATAATTATGAAAACATTATAATATTGTATACCAGGCAAATTCATATTCTTCATTTCGTTCAAGCCTATTTATATTGTTAAGTAAAGCTTAAGTTTTCTGTGTGCAGTTCCTGAGGTCTGTAATGTTCTCTTTCTCGTTACTATGTGTCTGTAGCGAGGAGGGGGGAGAGCCGCAAAACCTCGAAATGAAAACTTATACTCACTATTTTCTTCGAAAACATACGTAAGTTCCACAAAAAGTTTCAGGTTCTTTAGTTCAAGGAATATTTAAAGTGGCTGAATTTGCTTTGAATAGTAGAGTCGTTGTAGAATTGAAACTGAATGTCGTGAATACAAATTGGATGGTGAGAGAATGCGTGATTTGTTTTCTGCTGGAGTCGCATTCATTGAAGATACTGTGATTGCTGCTGGACTTGATAAAGAGGATCCTGAACGAGAAACAGATAGATTGTGTAATGACCTATATTCACGTTCTAAAAAGGAAACCGTTGGCCGAATTGATAATTGATCTTGAGTGGTGTTCGAGTCTTCTTTTCGATATGAATTCGTATCATCCGATGTTAGAGATTTCAGATAAATAGATTGACGAGAATAACTATCCATGGATCTCTGACAATATTTGCATTTCAAATCTTCTGATAGACGATAAGGAGATCGTAGTAGAGATCTAAATTCAAAATCTTATATTACCTAAACACCTAGAACGGCTGGTTCCTATCCTATGAAACCAGGACAACATCGACACAAATAGCAAAGACCTAGGAGAGCTAACAACAATAATAGTCGCAATCCAAGTCCAAGACCTAAGCCGAGAACCAAAGGAATATAATTATATGGTGTCGTAGTTGTTGCTAAAAATGAATAAAAAATTAATTGACAGAAAAAAAAACGATGAGAACATACCAGTGGTTGTAGTCATTGTCGTTGTTGATGTTGTAACTGAGGTAGTTGCGGTAGAAGTTGGGTGTGGGTGTGGGTGTGGGTGTGGGTGTGGGTGTGGGTGGGTGT